CAGCCTTTCGCTAAAAAAAAAAAAAGGTTGCCTGTTCCTTGTCGATTCTTTCCAATGCTCATCCTTCATTGCTATTGCTGTTCACTGCCAATAGCACCAGCGACAAAACTCATTACATCGGGTCGCCACCATGCTTTCGCTGGAACTGTACGGAAGCGTATCAGCCAGGCAAGACCTTATTTTGGATCCAATTTACTATATAGGCGCTTAATTTAGGCGCGCGTTAGCGTAACTATTAGACACTCTCGATTTCCCGTGAGTGTGCCGTAGAATACGCGTCTTCGTTACAAGCAAATTAACATGTTATGTGAGCTTAACCATGCTGTTTTCATTGTCTGCATGGAATAACCGAGACAATTATAGACTTACAAAAAGAGCGAAAGAAAGTCAGGAAGACAGGGAAGGAAGGTTGCTATGATGAGCGGCCAGCTTTCTGCTCTACATAAACTGTTTTGTACAAGACACATGTGCGCGACCACCCTGGGCTGTTAAGAAAATGTTCTGCTATTTCCGGCACTACATGGCGACGTGAATAAATAAGGTATTCAAACGTCGAATAGATCAACCCAACCGTTTTCATGCGCCCCGCCGCGGTGGTCTAGTGGCTAAGGTACTCGGCTGCTGACCCGCAGGTCGCGGGTTCGAATGCCGGCTGCTGTGGCTGCATTTCCGATGGGGGCGGAAATGCTATAGGCCCGTTTGCTCAGATTTAGGTGCACGTTAAAGAACCCCAGGTGGTCGAACTCTCCGGAGCCCTCCGCTACGGCGTCTCTCATAATCATATGGTGGTTTTGGGACGTTAAACCCCACATATCAATCAATCAATCAATCAATCAATCAATCAATCAATCAATCAATCAATCAATCAATCAATCAGCCGTTTTCATGCGTAGGCGTCTACCGTACTAGCAAGGTTTAAGCTTGCTACAGTATACATAGGCGTGTAAGCTGCGTATATTCTAGCTAAATTGGCAGTGCCATGACCGTAGCGCTGTCAAATACGACCAAATATGGCGTCGGCGAAACACTGCCGTAGGCTTGAACGGACGCCCTCTGTGGTTTCGGCGTTGCTGTCTAGCCGTCCCTCTCATGTATGCAACTCCGCGGTCTCCGTAATCGGTATACCTTCGCGCGCCAGCCATGTGTACCCTTGATTTCCGTTCGTTCCTCGACTGCTGCAGCATCCAGCTACGCCACTCATTTCGACACGCTTCGCGGTTCGTCAAGCGACCGCCGTGTGGCCTCTGGTCTCGGCTTGTGGCTTGGCTTGTTTTTCACATGCAAAAAGAAGAAGGCGGACGCCATTATTTGAACGGCTGTGGCGTCCGCGACTCGCTTGCCGTGCAACGCCAATCGTTTGTGTGTGAGACACCACTTCGCTTTTGTGTTTTATGTACGGCTGTGCACGGCGCGGGCTGACGTGGCATCCACCTTCCCTTCCTTTACGACGATCGCTGGCGCCGGCGCGCATTCAGAGCACGTCTGACTTTCCCCGTGCACGTGCGTTTCTTTTCTCTGTTATTTTTTTTTATCTGCGTGCATAGTCGTAAAGCAGTGCAGCTATCAGAATCGGTTCGTAATCGCACATAGTGTGTGTTCGCGCGATTGCGCGTCGTGCACCTTTTAGTCACGGCAAAATGAACACGTCGGAGGCCGAGACCGGATAGAATCTGTATGCTTTCATAAGGGAAGCGTACGTGTATACCTATAGGGGCACTGGGGACGCCTTGAAAATGAAGTGAAGCCGAGTGAGAATGTCTTGTCCGTGTACGCGAAGCGATGTGCGACTTTTTTGTGTTTACTTTGCGCAGCATGACGAACTGTGGATGCTTTGTACACACGTTTTCTGTACTGTAATAGGTAAGACGCTAAGAAGTTCGAACCGCGTTTGATCGGCGGTACTCGATCGGAGTTATTTGCGGGCAATTTTTTTTGCCAGGTTATAATAGTCGAAAGCAAACAACACATGTCCTCCTTCCCAGCTTCGCTAGAGGAAACTCGGGCGCTGCGAATAGTCAGCTCGTCGGAGAGTGTTGGGTATCAGTGTGTATTTGTCTAGACTCGTGGTCCTTGCTTCGGCCGTCCTCGAGGCTTTTGTTTCTCAGGCTTACTCCATCTAAACAGTACAGAAAGGATATACCTTTTTTTTTTTATGTCTCTAGTTGTGGACGGCAGCGTGCGACATCTCTTGAAAAGACCGAGGTATTTAGCTGTTGCAAATGGCGATGAGTGTGGAGACTAAAGAGTTCACGCATGTATATGTGTGATACGTAGCGCACCCACCTCTTGTGACCCCCGCTAGTAATGGTGGCGTACCTGTCAGTGTCTGAGCACATTTGCGCGTTATCCAAATTGCGTCGACCCACACATGTCTAGTTTCTCTGGAAACTATATACGTGGTTACGTCTGCTATACTCTTACGTTGCGCATACTGACACGCGAGGCTGCAGGCGCAGCCACGTCACTGGTGGAAAGGGGGAGCGCAAGGACAGCAATTTCCCCGCTGTACACACAGCCTTCACGGCGCTGCTTCCGCTGCCCGATTCGACTCTGGCCTCGGCAAGTTTTTGGTCCCCCCCATGGGAAACTCGGCACTGGGCGCGCGCGAAGCTTCGTTCAAGGGCGCTGGCAATTACAGGCATCCACGCTCGATCGGCGCCGCTACCGCATGGGGGGCGTATACTTTAAACGCCTGCTGCCTACCGCTGAAGATCACGCGCGGCGACTTCGGCCCAAACTGCGAGCTGAGGCCAACTCCCCGTCATTGCCGCATATCCTTGACATCTCCTGCCCCGCGGTGTGTCGCTACGTTTTGTGTGTGTTTTTTTTTCCTCGTACGCGGGCGTGTGTGGCACACCGCGGAGGTGTTTCTTCTGGGAGCAACGCTAAAAGGTCGGCACCCCCGCAGATCTGTGCTACGAGCAAATTGCGGAGCCACTTATAGCGCGATAGTAATGTCATCGTTTTACGGGCCCGGACGGGATGAAGGCTGTGCGAATACATGAGGATACTGCACCACAGAATAAACTTAGCGCTAGGTGGTTCTCGACGTGGCGCCTTCGATGTTCTTCGGTATGACTCTGTGTATACGGTATTATGCTTCGCCGTCGTGTATCAGTCACGGCGTGCGCAATTTGATCGTGTGCTACCGATGGAGTTGAGGGCGTATACGCCAGGTCGAAGGGGAAGCGGGATTGCGAAATAGCCGTGTACGTTTACGACGTTTCCATGCGATTATACAAGGAACTGCTCTAAAAACTTCCCTATATCGCCAAACTTGTTCCCGAGCCAGCGCACACGAAAGTCGAGGCGCCGAGCCTTCACCGTCGCGTACGCCTTTGCATGGTATTGAAGAGCGAACAAACTGTAAAAAAGCTAACGGGCGCCCTTGTGCATTCCCCTAAAACGAATCGAAGGCGAAACAATGTTCTTCTCCAATTTTTAACCGTGGATGTGCTGATACTCCAAGATCGTAGGCACCGCAGTCTTTCTGTACCTCACCTTGTTTTCTACTGCCTCCGGAATTGTGGCAACTTTGACCACGTGACGTTATGTGACGGAATGCCACAGTGACGTCACCAATGCTGGGGATTCGTCACGGCATGATGAGGCCGTATATGGCAGCGTTATCATGTGGTGATGATTTCTTGGATCGATTGTGTTGACGCCGACGCTGCGAGACGCGGACAGTCGATTTTCGCGTTTGATAGTGCATCTGAAGTTTTCGGCTTGATATGATCGTATGCCACGGTAGTGCACACTTATCTATTTTATAATCGATTTTAGCTTCATATAAAACGCCGCCATTCTCCGAACTACACGCTGCAACAAGTTATGTTCCATGCACGCTTGTCAGCCACGCTCGTTTTTTTTTATTTTTTTTTTTGAAGTATACGTACTGCATGACCACGGCGAGACCGCTGTCGATGCCGCCGTACCAGAACCACCGGCGCCGTATGAAATACGCCGTGTCTCCGGCCTTCCTGTTTCCTCTTGGCCGTTGTCTCACGCTCCCTCTCGTCACGGTCGAGTCTCGCTTTATTTCCCCGCGCATTCGCCGCCTACGGGATGGACTGCATGGTTTTCTGGCTTTGTTCGGTCCTTCGAAAGGCAGTCACACTTCAGGGGTCAGCCGAAAAGTGTTCCCGAGCGTGGTTCCTTCTTTGCCACCGAAAGGTTAAAGTGAAAGCGCAGTCGTGTCTAAATGTTCTATCGCATTCGAGAAGCCAGCAGAGCGCTGGAGTTGTCCTTGAAGCCACGTTTATTTTTTGAATTGAATTGAATTGAAGTTTATTTTGTCCTGAAATTCTTACAGGATCGTGAGCAGAAGCTAAAGGCTATATAGCCTGACATGGGCCTCTGCTCCTAAATACAGTTTGGCACGCAGGCCGCTCAATCTGTCGCATATGTTTTCAGAAATAATTGTATAACACAACAAATAACACACAGAAATGAATAAATAACACAATAAATAAACCATAACACAACAAAGTTTAGCATGGTCTTGTCACACTATTTCAGGGAAAACATTAGAAAAATCACCTTATCACAAAAGCGTCATCTGAAAAAAAAACTTTAATACAGAATGTAAAATAAAGCATAAGAAAAGCAACTACAACACATAACTCAAATTGATAGATAGGATGTAACAAATCAAGTACAGAAACTTCAATAAGCATACTCAATATCATGGTTCATTAGGATGGACTTGATGATGGCGTTCGAAGGTACGGAATTGAAATCGCCGTTATAGACCACATAGTTTTTTTTTTTTTTTCAGTGGTCGGTCCGTCTAGGTACACGATATTCGGCGTAGAATGCTCCTTTGCTTAACACGGATTTATATGCGAGAAAACAAAAAAAAAAACAGAAAGCAGGTTGCGTATGAAGCCACAAATGGTGAGACAGAATATCTGCTCTCTTGTATCGTTTCAATAAAGCGAGCGTGTCGCTGTATAGCGTGGACTGAATGTGCAAATGTTGCTTTTGCCTCTTCGCAGGTTTGGTTTTAGCCCGAGCAATGGAGCCGCGCCTCCGGGCCTGCTTCGAGGCTTCGAGCCTCCGTTCCCTTTCAAGGCGGCGGGAACGCCTCCGTTGCCCACGTCGGGCCGCCAGAGTGCGGGCCGAGATGGCGTCAACAACAACGCCGCGTCGCACGCGGCCGCAGGAGGCAACGACTCCGACTCCGCGGTTCACGCGACGCCCAACCACGGCCTGCCGCCTCACCACGGAGGAGGCCCCGTCGTCTCCGCAGCGCAACCGCGCGCCACGCCACCCCTGAAGCCGTCTTCGGCCACGTCCTCCCCGCCGTCTTCGCTGCTGGAGCCGCATCGGGGAAGCGCGCCCTTCAACCTCTCGGACTTCTCGTCGTCTCAGACCTTGCTGAACCTCGTGAGGACCGCGAGCGCACAGAGCGCCTCCCAACTCGAGACCTATCTCCGCGGCGCCGTCAAGAGACCGCACTGACGGGGAGCACGCGAGAGCCGACCCCCTGGACCTGTCGCTAGGCGGCACCGCAGTGAAAAGACCACGGTCCACGGACAGCCCACGGTCCTCCTCGGGCTCCAAGGAAGCTGGGGATGGCGCGCGGACGCCGCCCCGCAAGCAGGCAACTTCTCCGTGGCTCTTGCAATTGGAGGGCGCCCGGGGAGCGTCCAAGTCGCCCAAGCTGCGTTGTGGCTCCGTCTGTTCGGACCAGGTGTCATCGTTGCATTCGCCATGCAGCGGTGCCGTGGGCACGACTACTACCGAGGGTGGTCAACAGCAGCAACAGCAGCTGGTCGCCAAGTGGACCGTCGATGATGTGGTCCAGTTCGTCGCCTCAGTCGAGTCCTGCCAGGAGTACGCCGAGGTGAGTGGAAGAGCCTTTTACAGCTGCTAAGGCCTCTTGCGTCGCGCATTCCGCCTTGATCGCTCAAAGACTCGACAATGTGCAATGCAGTTGAATGCCTCAGAGAAACATTGATAAAAGTAAATCAGTGCTTGACACATCTTTTTACATTGTTGAACATAGCTTGTAACTTCTTTTCCCAATAGTTCACGGTACCAGCGATGTCAAGTTTATTTTTCTCGTTAGTCTCCCTTCGCCGCATGCATCAGGTCGCGAAAGCAATTTAGGTGCGATCAAAAGGCCCGGACCCAGACGTTTATACTGCTACAGAAAAGAAATCAAACTGAGCGACGCGTTCACTTTCACCTTTTGGCATTGGTCCTCTGCTTCCGCCCAAGAGGGCGTGTATGCCGGACTATGCAAGCTACCGCCATGGGCAGAAGCAGCTATCGTTGCCTGGACGCGAAGATTGCGCACCGGGCGCAAGACACGTCTCACACCCCGCGACTCGGTCTTTTGTCTCGTGCCGCACTCGGTCGGTCGATCGCACACCGCCCTTCCACCCTAAATCTCCATCTGGCGCGCTGAGACAATAAGGAGGCCGTGTCACGTCCCTGGGCGTTTTCTCCCTGCATGCGGCCCCTGCTGCTGGCTGGCGTAACTACGCGTCCTCTGTGCCCTTTTCGGTGGGTTCTGTATCGTGTGAAAGGGCCTTCGGTTGCAGAAAGCCTAGAGAGAGAAAAAAAAGCAAAACGCCGAATAGAAAATCGAAGAAAGGACGCGGCAAAGAAAAAAGCGAAAGGAGATCGAGTTGCATGGCCCTGGGTCTCGGTAGGCGGGATAGCCTCTTCGTGCGAGTGGACCATAAACGCCATAGCCGTATCGTTCGCGTCGCCGGCTACCATGCCGCATCGGAGGCAGGTGATTACAAAGGCCCGGGCCTCGGCGAACGTGGGAGGGGCAGGGGACCCGGACCTGGCTTCGCGCCGCCGGTCGCTGCCTGGCGTTGCTTGCCCGGTCATCCGTGCGGTTGCCTGGATCTCTCTTCTCTGCTTCGTCCCCGTCTGCAGCGAGGCGTTTGTCTGGAACGGGCGGGCGTGCTCCCGGGAGGACCACAAGCGACGAACGAGCAGCAGCCTTGCAGGCTGTTTCCAGTATAGCGTAGAGAGGTTCCGGTCTCGGCGACGTGTGAAGTGCTGCAGTGTATACGGTCGATCACTGTCATTAGACGGTGACCTCCTCCAGCTTTATCGCCCTCTCTCTTAGTGGTCCGCCGCCGCCGTCGCGTCGCCTCGTTTTCGTACCGCCTTGTTTCCACCTCTTCGCCCCCGCCATCACGCCGTCCCTCCCTCGTTCACCTTCTTCTGTCGGCTTTCGAGCACTTCTTTCGGCGGCTGTGACTCTCTGCGTGTGCTTTTCGTTTCCACCACTGTTGTTGTCTGTGCGTGTCGTTTTCTTGGTTGCTGTGCGGGACCCTCCCCCCCCCCCCTTTCACTTCGGCCTGGCTCCCTTTTGCTTCTGTTTCTTCTTGTTTCGTCTGAGAATGGTCGTTTTCCAGCTGCGCTTGGCACTACTGTTTCTTTTCGTAGGAGTCTCCTTGCCTCACTCCTCAATCCAGGTGATACATGAAGCACCTTTATGAATAGAGAGCCCATATACCTTGTGATACCCTTTCCCGCTGTCTCCGGTTCGGGAGGCTTTTCGAGATCTCGTTGAATGATAAGGTCCACGCGGGCGCTGCCACATCGCTGACTCCTACAATTGGGGAGCGACGTCGTTACAGTTCTCTCGAAGATTTCGTATCCTTTGCAATCAACCACGTGTCAGCTTATAATCTTTGTGCGACGCTTCCTTTTCACTTGGTTTCGACTTAAAATTCCTAGAAGTCACCTGGTATAGAGTATCGGACGCGTAGCTCGAAAGTTGTGGGTTCAGATGCTACCGATGAAGAAGGCTATTTTTCTTCCGCTTTAGTTCCTCTAATTAAGGTGGAATTCATCACACTAAAGTTCAAGAAAAATAATGCCCCCCCCCCCCCCCCCATGCTTTCCTTGGCCTCGCACTATACTGGAGACCCGCCCTACCCACTCACTTCCCTGCTTCTCGATCACGTTCGTGCCTTCTCACTGCTGCCTCCATTTGTGCCACCGAATGAAACGGGCAACGCGTGAGGCGAGAAGCAAGCAAACATGCGTGTGTATTAGAAAGAGAAGAGGTAAAAACGGTGACGTATACAGTCGGTACAGCGCGAGCAAGAAGAAGAGGAAGCACGTAATTGAAGTTGGAGGCAGGTCGTGACGCCGGGGCCACTGGCAAGCGAGCCGGAGGACAGGCGGTTTCCCAGGGGTGGAGTGGCGGTTGCTGCCTGCCGTGGTGCCGATAGCGGCAGAAAGGTGGAAGTGGGTGGGTATAGAGAGATCGGTACGCTGCAAACCGCAGCTCGCACGTTGATGCTGCTGCCGCTGCGGCGTCGTTTCTAGGAGCCCCCTCCCTTCCCCTGACTAGCATAGCTCTCCCTTGCGCTCCCTCGCTCCACGTCCTACGGCGCGCGCGGCGAGAGCGTCCTTTTTCCGGCGGTGGAGTCGTGACCGCTAACCGAGTTACACCTCGCTGAGAACCCGCTTATCGACGCCGATCATCGCGGCCGGGGAGCCCGCGGCGGCTGATGCATTCCCCTTCCCTCCGTCCACCTCGGTTTCCCTGCGCGATTCTCTAGTTTTTCTTACCTTGCGGTTACCGCAGCGAAAGAAGCACGCGCACGCCGTCTTCTCTTTCTCACCCTCTTTAAGTTCCTCTCATCTCACCATCTCTGGCTGTCGCTTCGCTTTTGCAGAGCAGCGGAACAGCTCGTTTGTCTCTTTGCGTTTCTCTCTGTCCCACTGGGGCGCTGTACTTTCTAATACCGCTTTTTTTTTTCCTGTCAAGAGCACAGGCCACCGCCCGACATTTGCCTGCATATGGTACGTCAGGTGTTCTCTTGTTTTCGTATAGCACACGTGTTTGCGCTAACGCTCCGTTTGTTGACTTTGAGGCACCAAGTATATACTGCACATGGTGTGAGTCGGTGCATTATAATACCTTATTGTTATAACTCAGCTCAGTTCGAGCATGAAGGGGCAACATAGGAGAAGGGAAACAGAGACAACAGGATGAACGCTAAACGCACTCTGTTCGACGCATTCGATTCGAATGTTCCTTAATTTCGAGCGCGTCGAGACGGCCTTTCTGCGTTTTTTGATCCAGTGCCCACACTCGGTAATTCAACGAAACTCTACAAGGCGTGAGTACCTTGGCGCGTAGCTATTGCGAAACGTTAGGTGTGGAACAGGCACTAATAAACCAGTATTCACTCACAAAGTTGCGCATCTTGGTTTTGAGAGTGTTCGTTCCACGCTTAATCTTCCTCAGCAGACGTTCTCACTTAAAGAAAAAAAAATAGACACGCGCACATAGTGGATCGGCTGTTAGAGGGAAAGTGGGGCCGGGTTGGACCTCGGCGAGTGCACGGGTGCACCGATGTCCGTTCTATAGAAACGAGGGCACCCTTCAAGGCGTTACGCACGGCAACCGGGACGGAAACCGATGTGGAGAAACGCAATAAACGCGCGCGTGCGATCTGCACGCATACGCCCCTTTGCTACACACCTCTCCGCGCGCATGTGCGCACAGCTAAAGAACGGACAAGCGAGCGGACCGCAATTTGCGTTTCGTCGCATGCGTCGTTCATTGTTCGCGGTCCGCAAGGGACGGGCAGGAAGGACGTCACGCCACCGGCGGCGCGCTAAGTGCATCATTGTCCGCGCGCGTGAGCGAAAGCGAATTACGCGGGCCGCGACAGGGAAATGAGAGTGTGGCTGGCGAGGTCACGGGGTCAGGGCGCACCAGTTGCGCGAGCCGACAGAACGGCGGCGACAAAGTGCCCCGACGCCCCACAGCCACCCCGAGCCTTTATAGAGGGCGAGACGACGGCGGTCGGTGCGTGAAGAGATGTGACGTCCGTGACTTGTCAGGACGAGTGACAGTCGGGCGAGAACGAAAGCTGCGCCATTTGTGCCACGCCGGTGGCTGGCTGCTTTCCGGCCTGTGACAGTTATATACCAACTACGCCCCCGTGTCGTAATGCTCCGTTTCGTACGTCGCAATAATGTGGGACGGACGCTCGAGTGAAAATTACGCTGCACTATGGTGATGCGGGACGTTGGTCTGACGTTCTGCGTAGCTGCTGAGCAAGCTCTGATATATTAGCGAGGCCAGGGTGGTTTTCCAGGTACAACGCAGTTTCATGACGGCCTTAACTATTGCGTAGGACTCGAACTGACCGCTTTATTTCCTCGCTACTGATTTGCCCACAACGTAAACAAGGAAACCAATGCCAAATACGGTTCAATGTATTTCGGTGAAGTAAGGCTTGGTGGAAATCAGGCTTGCGCCTTATCATTTCGAAACTTAAGCGGCTGTCCGAAAGTTGGCAGCTCTTGCCGAATCGGCAGATCTTAATTTTACTTATGAACTCTACGCCCGTATACTTGAAAACGAAGTCGCTGTTCCGATCGTTCCTCGGACGCACATATAAACATACGCATGTGTGGTAACGATGCGAGTTCCAGAGTCGTGCACAGAAAATCGACGCGGATGCCCCCACGGTTTCCTCGCACCGCGAACACCGTGCAGCGTTTGCACAGAAGTCTCGGTAATCATGCAGAGTTCCGAAGGTGATGGCGTTTCTTATGTTGCGCCTTCTTCAAAGTTGCTACACAACGATGTCCTCTCGGTCATCCGTGACCCTGTATCCCCTGCATCGTCGCACGATGACCGACGCACGCGTCAAGACATCATTTATCCTTCCGTCCTCTTCTCTTTCTGTTTCTTCCGGCCTTATACAGACTACTGCAAGAAGAAGGCGATACGCTGCAGTGCCACCGAGTTTCTTAAATGAACTTTTTTTTTCACCCCGTTTTTTTTTTCTTCTTATGACTCTTCTCGTGATATCCTCGACTGTCCCACCGCAGAGAACTTCTGTA